CCCCCCCCCCCCCCCCCCCCCTCCTCCAATGATGATGGGTGACCCAACTTGGGTGACCTGTCATAGTTCTTGGCTCGCAACCAAAGGTTGGTAGTTGTATGCGTGGATATTTGCGGGTCGTTTCGATTCCAATCTTGGCTCACAAAAAAGAGCCCCGCTCGTCCCTCTCTGTTTCGCTACTTCCTGTATGTTTCGCCAGTCTCTCGGCAGGCAGTAAGCGGCCCCGGCGTTCCTCAGTTGGCAAAACCTAACCGCGTTGTATTTTTTTTTGTTCGTCGCGTGTTTCGAGAGCAGATCTGCTTCAGGCTTTTCCGCCTGCTGCTCCTGTATCACCACCCCCGACTGTGCCGGTTCCTGGACCAGTACCAGCTGCAGCCGGAGCTTTACGCAACCCCTTGGTTCATGACCCTGTTTTCGAATAGCCTGGACCTCCCGAGGCTCTACGAGGTAAATTCAAGTCAGGCAACCGTTGAGTTTCCCCAAAGGTGGCTCTCGTGGTATGTCTACACTCATGTTGACCTCTGTACGAGGCTGGCTATACGCCGGAGATATGGCGGGACCTTCGTCTCGGGTGCACGTGTGCAATCAAATGCTGTTTCAGACAAGCGAACCCCTTTTGGAGTCGTTGGTTTTGGTAGATATGCCCGCCTTTGGTTACGTATTGCTGCACCTATTTCTGCATCCTCTCTCTTGTCCCGCAACAGGTTTGGGATTTCTACCTGTACTGGGGAGACCCGGCGTTGCATCACTTTGTCGTGCTGGCCTTCGTAATCGGAAACGCCGAGGCTATCTTGAAGGTGACGCTTGTTGAGTCGAATTTCCAGCGTGTGACCGTCTGTCTGCTCCCGCGACGTACGGTGCTGCACCCCAGCGCTACGCGCGGCGGGTACACCGGGCGGTCGCCACTCGGGTCCTACCACTGCACCTGATTATGGTCACGCTACTATTCCAATCGCTCTCTCAACAGCGCTGTTGATTGGCTTGTGCTGCAGATGTTGGATTGCACACTTCGTGCGTGTCGTGTGCGTCAATCATGAAGGATCAACCTTGCTCCGTTCGATAAATGTTTCGGCAACAGGCGGAAGAGGCCAACCTCCCGGAGACAATGTGCAGGCTGACAGATGGTATGCGGTCCGTCGAGGAGGTGCGGGTGCTCATGCGCACGGCGAAGGACCTGATGCTCAACACGCCCAAGTCGTTCAGGAAGATCCTACGGTCTGCGCTCTACGCAAACCTCAGTCAGGTATCGAGGCCGAGCCTTGAGTAGTAGTGGCGCTACGTTTCCCTATCATCGCCGTGGTGTGGTTCACCACATGTGGTACGTCTTATGCTACGGCTGTACGTTTGCACACCATCGCCCTGGTGTGTTTCCTCACACATGTGGCCTCTCTCTCTCTTGCGGAGTTCATCGTCAAACAGCGCTGTTCTTTCACCGACATGCTTGCTTCCCAGACCTCATCCCACTATCCTAACCCCCCCTCTGCCGCCCCCGCTGCAGAGCCAGATGAACCTGGTCCTCAACACCCTCCAGGTGTCCTCCTGCATCCCGGTGTCGGCGGAGGAGATCACGAGCTACATTCTCCACAAGAACCCGCACCGGCAGCTCGACCAAGAGTCAGACGGTGACGAGGAGTCCGTTCTCGACGATGCCATCGCCAGCTCCAGCAGGGCCCCTAGCGACACCGCCACGGGCCGTAGAGACTGCAACGGCGGCGGCGGTGGCGGCGGCAACGACGGTAGCCACTCCCTCAAGTCTCCGACAAACGGCGGGGGGGGCACGGGCGGTGGCGGTCCTGGCAGAGCATCGCCGAGCCCGCAGAGGCGAGCGGAACGGGCGGCAATGCGGTCGCTCCGAGTGCATCGGCAGTACATCATCCTGGACTGCCGGCCGCGGGGGGAGTTCGAGTCGTGTCGCCTCGCGCCAGCGCTACACCTCGACCCGGACCTGCTCACATCGCCCGAGAAGCTGGACGCTAAGCTCAAGGAGTTCATGCCCCTTCAGGTGTGGGGGTACTAGTGTGTTGCATGCCACAAGAGGACTGAGTAGTGCTCCCACGGGACCGATCACCGAAGGCCAATCATCCCTTCCTACTTTGGGAAGGGGGAGGGTTTTAGGGGGGAACGAAGGAAGCGTTGTTGGTTGAGAGTGCTGTGATGCGGTTTAGCAGCGAGCGCGCGTGTTGACCGGACCGCAACAGTTGACGCATTTTCCCGCTTTGTTGAGACACCACCGAACAGGGCGTGCGCGCCGCGTCCGTAACGGCACCGGAACACCCTGGCGTCCGTCGGTGTGTCTTGGTTATATCCGAAAAAACGTTTTATCGCAGCAGTACCGGACTCGCGGCAACTCCCTTTGAACATACCCCTCCAGTAAAACTAACGACGACCCTGGTCGTTGTACGTCGTCGTCGCAAATTCGTTTGTCGTAGGGCGTGGCGCACTTCTGCCTGGTTGGGGCCGGGGATGACGACATGGGGGCCGTCGGGCAGAGGAAGAACACCTCGTCGGATCTTAGCGGGGAGGCCATGGGCCTGAGGACGGTGTCGAACAGCAAGTCGGACTCTCCCGGCCGAGCCGGCCTGGTGGGCGAGGCCGGCTTCCTCGCCGATCGCGGGGGGAGCGGGGACATGTTTTCGAAGCCGGAGGGTGGGTTCGGTCGAGATAGCAACAGCAGGGAGGGTGGGTTCTTGGGAGGGTTTTCGAGGGCGTTGTCGCGTGGGTACGGGCACGCGGCGGCGGCGGGTAAGGACGGGGAGGAGGAGATAGGGAGGGAGGAGGACGTGCAGGTCACGCGGCTGGTGCTCATGCTGCTGCAGTACAACTTCCCCTTCATCAGCCACGTGCGGGGCGACATGGCGGCCATCTTGGAGGAGCTGAGTGCCCAGGTGAGGGGAAAGAAACACTGTGGCCTTGCGCCGTCAAGCATGGCCTTTCTGATAACAAGCGATGAGTGGGCGTCCGTGTCTCGTGCTGGGCTTGAGGGTTTTCGACCTGTAATAGGGTTGAAAGAATCTGTTCTCTGATGCATATATATTTATTTTCACAGTCGCACAGAAAATCATGATGATGTCATGGCGCCAAAATGGTCCGTCGCGAGTTGGCCATTCACTGGCCCTCTCTTCCCTCGTCAAAACCTGTTGAATCCTCCCCCCGGACGTGCTGCTGCAAATGGACAAGTTGCTTGTCGATACTGTGCATACCTTTGCCAGTTTGACGTCTTTGTTTGGCATTTTTAGGAACTATCAAGCACAGAAATACTATTTAGCCGTTCGAGACATAGCCGCAGTCGAAGGGCATGAGTCGGACTCTTTGGAGTGAGTGGAGCTTTGTGTTGGCCCCGCCTGACGTGGTCGTGCCTGCTGCCTGGTGTCCCCGCTCGCACGGTGACGCTCCGTGGCCAGGCCCTCGCCGAGAAGGAGGGCCAGCACGCCGATAACGGTGACTTCCACGAGACGCTGCACGGGGCACTCATCGGCGCGGATTCAGACAGGTGACTATTATAATACATATGCACACAATAGACTCGACGAGGTGCTAGTACAAAGGCGCCAGAGTCGCTGCACCCTTGAGAGACCCAGGCATTTCCAGCTACGCTGCACCTGTCCATCCAATATCTTTTCCTTGCTGTTGCAGTGTGCACAAAGTGTCGTGAGCTACAGAGGGACCAGTCAAGATTGATCTGCGAGTGTCATGGATGTCGGTCTCGTGCCTGATGGTCTCCACCGCAGTGGCAGTCTTTGCGGGAGTTTTGGCACCGATCTCCCTGACACGCCGTGAGATGTAGCCCCCCGGCTGATTCCAACGCCCTTTGTTGTGTTGACGAAAAGAGAGGCTCGGAATTAACTCTTTGCTCTTATTTTTCGGCTTGTTCTCCCTCAATCATGATGCGGCTACGAACGAAAAAACGAACGAATAAATCTTGTGCTCTTAGCCGGTGCCGCGACCCCCGTCGCGTGTGCTGTTTCGATTGTTCTCCAGGGTGCGCGAACAGCTGATGCACATCAGCCCGGAGAAGACGAGCAAAGGCCTGTTCGCGGGCTTGTCGAAGTGGTCCAAGAAGGATGACAAGGGGGCCTCCGCTCTCTACGCCTCCAAGGGGGGAGGGCTAGGCAGCGCGACCGCGGGGAGCAAGAGTGGCAAGGTAGGCGGCGGTGGCGGCGGCCCCTCCTGCAAGTCTCGGGGCGTTTTGCAGACCCTCTCGATCAAAGCGCCCCCTTCCGTTTACCGCAACGCTCAGTCACGGCGTTGGCGTCTCGTTCCAGGACAGCGTAGTGGTGCCACGGCCAGTTGTTGCGCGAAAGTCGGCGACAGTGGTGGGTAGGGGTTTCGCAAGTGGCGCTGCTGCCATCCACCACTCGTTTCTTTTTTCCCCCACCAGTGAGTCCTCGAAAAATATACCCATCGGCGTGGACACGGCGGTAATTGTTGAGCGGTTTACAGTGGCGAGGGATTCCATGGGTAGTCTGTTATTGCCTGTGGCGGGCGAGAATCTTGGCGTCGGGATTGTTTTGAGAACCTACGAATAATGTGTTGCTATATGAGTGTTTTTTGCTTGCGCCTCCAACAATTCCTCTCAGCTGCCTACTGTTAGCCCTGTCCTGCTCTCATAGATTTGCTGCTCGCCGGATATGTGCGGGAAATAAATCACGGCCAGAATAGCGATTGATTGCACATGGCTGCAAAAATTACAGAATTTCAGAATTTTTCGCAGGTTCTGAAAAAGTGCGACTCCTTTCTTCCGGAACTTTTCGGGTGCGCAGGCAGCTGACGATGATCCGGCATCGCTGGCTAAGAAAAACGCGGATGCTACAGCAGTATCATCGCGGGGGAGAGGAGGCTTGGGTCGGAGGGACACGGAAGACTTCTACATGGTTACGAAGCCGCAAGACCATTCTCCCACCGCAGAGAGGAAGTCTTCGAAGCGCCGCCTGTTCGGGGGCGTGATGGACCGGTTCGACAACACCACCACCAACAACAACAACGCTCGCGCGGATGGCGATGCCGCGTCGTCGTTGTCGCTCGCTGGCGCAGCGCGAAAGCAGTCGTGGCTCCTCTCCCCCGGCCGCTCCTCCCGAGAGGCGAGACAGGAGGCTCCCGGCCGCGAGCCGCCGTCGGCGGCGGCTGCGCCTTCCTCTGTTCTCGAGGCATCGGCGGCGGCAGAAGGGAAGCAGAAGACGGCGACGGCGACGTGGACGAAGCCGGCGGCCAGGAAGAGGGACGCGCCGGACCGGCTGGCCAACTTCTTCGGCAAGATTCTCGGGGTGAAGGACGACGCCCTGCCGGACAGGCCGATCGACTTGCCGCCTGGCGGCGGAGCTGCGGACCAAGCGACGAGGACGCGGAGCCCTACCACCCTCGGCGTTGCTGCTGCGGGAGCAACCGGGGCGCCAACGAGTGCCGCGGGAGGGGGAGCAACCGGGGCATTGTCGAGTGGGGAACCATGGGCAAGCGAGAGTTTGGTCTCTTCTTCTGATGCTGCTGCTGAGAGCGGCGCAGCGGCGGCGGCGGCGACTGCAAGCGTTGCCGAGACCCCGCTCGCCACGGCTGTATACTCGGCCACGACCGTCTCCGCGGCTACCGCGGACGCCATGCCCGTCGCCGTCGCCGTTGCTGTCCCTCTGTCGGACCCCTCGGCGCCGGCTCGCCGACCGTCCCGCAGCAGCAGAACGCACAGGACGAGGGCGGCGGCGGCGGGGGGCAGCAGATCTGAGGGCGAGGTGGTTCTCGTAGCGGGGACCGGGAGAGCGGTCTCGATCCGGGACTGGATAGCCACGGAGGAGAGGGAGAACGGGGGCGCCGTGAGGGTGTTCTCGGCGCAGCGCGTGCTCGACGGCAAAGTGCAGAACAAGTGCCGGTTGGCCGTCTCCCGGAAGAGCTTGACCCAGGTGAGGTGTGGGGCGGGGCAAGGCAGCGTGTCGACGGACGGCCACCGCGGCGTGCGGTTTTGAGAAAGGGTCGTTGTTTGTTCACATGGGGCGTGGGGTTCGTTCTCCTGTTGCTGCAACTGGGTTTTCGGCCAGCAGCTTTTACCGTACCGCGCTGGTTGCACTTCCTGCTCGTTCTGTTGGCTGTGCGCCGTGACACGCAAAAGTGAGCGACTCTCTGTATGAAGAGGCGCGCGTGTGTTTTCAGTAAGTGACAATGCTCATCGCGCACTGTCCCTGAGGCCCACGAAGGTGTGCCTCCAACTCCAACTGACAACGGGCCGTTCTGATACCTACCGGCGTCCCCCCCCCCCCC